GTTGTTGAGTGCAAGATCATCCGCCCTACAAGACAGACAAAGGGGAATCACGCCGGAAAATCTCGATGAACGTTCTCGGCCAAGGCAGGGATCGAACACGGGACCTCTAGGTTAGCGAGGCAACGTCCTACACACTAAGTCACCATGGCTCTGTATCAGTCTTATACTGGTTAGCGTATAGTATTGACAAGTCCCTAAATTACTTAAGAATGAATGGAGTTTAACGTTCCAGTTGTCTGCACTGACTTAAAGAGTTCGTGTTAACTTTGAAGTTCCTGACTAATTGCTTCCCCTGATTTAACAAATATAGTTTGTCTATTTATGACTTTCACCCACTACCACCAAACCCCCGTTTTGAATCTTATGTTTTGTCTTTGATCTCGCACCGACCAAGAACATTTGAATTGATATTTGCTGCCAGGATTTTGGTGAATATTCATGAATTTGAGTTGGACTGATCCGGAAGTAAACAAACGTGAATTAGGAATATTCCGTTCTAAAATGACCTCACAGTCTATAGATTTCTTTGAACGGTGTTAGATCAGATCGAAAAGGTCAAGCCCTTCAATGGTGAGAGAGTGGAATCGTCATCCTAGGACTAAGGTATGGTTCAATTTTATCTCAATATCTCGCTTGCGCGTACCCGCGCGTGTGTGTGTGTGTGTGTGGGGGGGCAATTGGAGGACCCGGGATAACCCATAAGATTGGACAGGCGAACTTTCTTTTGTTCACGTACAAGTAACGAATCGAAACCACGCCACTCAATGGCAGACCTTATGATACAACGCTTTAAACAATTCGGCCACCTAACACCTGTCAGTCTTAGCCTGTCAATACGATTCGAGTTGTCTCCCTTGACCAACACGGCGTCCTGCGTTAAATATTACAACTTCGATGCTACCAATACAAAATATGTCCCAGGGTAGCACCAGGGTGTTGGTAGCACTTTTAACCAGACTAACAGAAGTATGAATTGTATTTTTTAGGGTATTATGTTTTTGTTTTTTTAAAAACAAGGTCTTCGATGGACAATTTTTAGTTATATGTAAATATTATGGATGATGGACAATCTTTTTTTTTTTAAATTTATTTTATTTATCAAAAGGCATAGAAATATTAAAAAAAATAATAAGTATTATATTATCCTACTAATTAAATTTCACAAGGATTTATCATCAACAATTTCTATATATGGATTTAATTGATATAAAAGTTGAAACTTGGGTAATAATCCACGATGTTTCATATAAATATAAACATTATTCATATGATCTGTTAAAACTGATTTAAATACTGCACGTATTTCTAACTTGTGATTTTGCTGTACGAAAATACAACCTTCTCTTTAGAACAGCCAATCTAACACTCGAGAAAAAAAATACTAAAAAAATTCAAACATGAACCAAACCACATAATCTTCTCTGCTGAACCCTTTACTCTAAAAAATCACCTAAATCATGTCATATATGACATCGTGTAATGATTTGACATATTTACAGTCTAGTAAGATGTGCCTCAAAGTTTCAACACATTGATCTTCACATAAGGTACAAAAAGGATCGGGAACTATTTTAGCTTAACCCTTCTTATAATTAGTCCATACAATAATGTGTAAAATCTTGTAATCAGTATCTATAAATTCAGAACATTTGGAAGGATGGAATTCCGACTTCCAAACATTCGATCAATCAACATGGTTTGAATCATATCTCACTTCACGAAAACAGTCTGTTGTCATAAATAAGCAGTCATCAAAACCAGTAGACATAAAATATGGAATTCCGCAAGGATCAGTACTCGGTCCGTTATTATTTACGGCTTATACTTGCCCTCTTGGTAAACTTCTTAGAGATCACAATTTAGACTATCATATATACGCAGACGACACACAACTGTATGTGGCTGTAACACCCGACAACGAAAGTAAACAAATCATTCAGTTGGAGAAATGTATTGATAATGTAAAAAACTGGATGAAAAACAACTTTTTAAAACTAAACGATGATAAAACTGAATTATTAAAAATAGGAACCGATCATAGACTCTCATCAATTATTACAAAATATGTTAAAGTGGGTGGTGCTGTCATACATCCAAGTAACAGTGTACGGAACCTCGGTGTTAAATTTGGGAAAAATTTTGACATGAAAGAACATGTGTCGAATATGTGTAAATCCGCCAATTTTCAACTATATAATATAGGTCGCATAAGAAACTTTATTGATACTGATACTTCTAAAATGCTTGTCAACTCACTTGTAACCTCCCGCCTTGATTATTGTAATTCTTTATTGTTTAACTTGCCTTCTCTTCAGCTAAATAGATTACAAAAAATTCAAAACAAAGCCGCTCGAGTCATTACTAGAACTAAACTATGTGAACATATCACCCCTATTTTACACCAACTGCATTGGCTGCCAGTTACTAGCAGAATTGAATTTAAAATACTCTCTCTAACATATGCTGTCATTAATATTGAAGACTCACCTGACTACCTCAAACAACTAGTGACCCCATATATTCCTACACGCACACTTAGATCACAAAACAAAAACTTGCTAATGCCCTATCATGCAAAATCCTCATTTGGGGAAAGGTCTTATAGTTTTGCTGCTTTTAAACTATGGAATAAGTTACCTTCTGAAATTAAAGATTCCCCTTCCCTGCCTGTTTTTAAGAAAAAGTTAAAGACCCACCTTTTTAAAAGCCATTTTAATTGCTAAATGCTTAAGCTTTCTCAGAGTTTACTTTTTTATTATTGTATACCATATTTTATTCTAATTGTGCAATGTTCTTATTATTGAGATGTTTTATATTTTATACCTTTACAATAATGTAATAGCGCCATAGAGCAATCTAAGTATTGGATTATAGGCGCTCTATAAATAAATTATTATTATTATTATTATAACCTACCCCCCCCCCCCGCCCAAACAATCCAGATTTGTAGGTGTACCACAAAATAAATTCCTAAGAATTTTATATGCTGAACCAGATTTTATGTCGGTCAAGACAAAATCTTCATCCTGAACATTCAGAACAAAATCAACAGTGTAACTCAGATCATGTGAATCTTGAGAATTTGTATTGATGATATCAACCCACTCATTTGGCAATGCTTGTGCAGATTTGTGATTTTTAACCTTGACCTTTTGAAGCCTCTGGAACTAGGCTCTTAATTATGTGTGATTTTGTTGTTTTAGATGTCTGGTATGGAGGATTTCAAACCAGGTTATTCATTTTCTTTTACATAGTTCCACTTCATCGTTAATTGAATCGGAGACATTCTTCTCCATCTATTATTTCACGGTGGATGAAACTGGCTCGTTTGACTACGCGTAGGCAAATAAACAACATGGCTCCAGAGTCATAAAAGAGAGGATTTGTCTTGTATCTGATCGAAAGTTCAGACATTAGTTCATCTGCCGCAGTACTTCTCTCCCTCCACTGCATACTGGGTATGTCGGAGGCAGGATGCAACTCCTGGCTTTGTTCGGGCCCGCCATACACATGACCCTGATGGCGCTGCTTTCGATGACTTCAATCTTGCTCGTTGGGTGCATCTAATGATGGGATTCTGTATTCAATCTGTAGCTTGTTGAATATGCATGATCTGGATATCTTACTAACTGAATGGAATCTTTGCCCTTACCAACTGGAGAATAATGGGAAGAATATTACATTAAGTTCCCATCGACATTCGTCTAACAATAATGTCTGTTCACCTTTTGAAGCCTACACATAGGTGAACTATTGAATGAACCCAGCGGAATAGTTAACCCATACGTATTTACAGACTCCCATTGTCATCTTCATAACACCAGTGACCGGCTAAATTCAGTAGTGTCTAATTTTGTCCATCGATCATCTTGGCATTTAACACAAGGTATAACCGACCCTACCACCCAATTTGCCTATGGACTACATCAACATTAAGTTTCCACCACGACCATGGGCCAAGATCTCAAAACGTTGGGGAATATGATACAGGAGAAAAAATGTGTGGCTCTTGGGGAGATTGGACACGACTTTACCTCCAGGAATCAGTCATCGTGCCAGGAAAAATTCGTCAGAAGGGTCTTGCAATACTCTGATCCTAAACAGACAATTATCATTCATAGCAGGGATGCTGGAACTGGGGATACAGCAAGGCAGATTTTTCACAATCTAAAGCAGATACGACTCGCAACCAGACACATACACCGACATTGCTTCGTAGGTGATGTCCAGGAGATGCGCCGCTGGTTGCAAGATTTACCAGATGTTTTCCTGGGCATCACCTCTGCTCTTCAGCACATTGATTTGACTAAGGACATTTTGCCTAGCTACATCTCCATGGGGAGTGATGGTCGTTGCCACAAAAATCGCTCACCTTCGTAACATTCCTGTCAGAATACTGCTACACATATTTAATAGTGACTTCCGCCGACTTTACCATCCATAAACACGACTCACATAAATTGCATATTTTCGTGATAAATACTTCTATTATCCTTAACATCTAACATGGCACCAGCAGAGTAGAGTAATTTTATCTTCTCCACTGGGTTTATTACAGATCTAATACAATAAAATACTGGTGTCATATTAACATCATCCCTACCATTTTTATCAAGTCCTTGTTCCAATAAGTATTTTATACTGTCTATTGTACTCCACCAACAAGCATGGTGTAATAAACTACCATCATTATCCTTAACATCTAACATGGCACCAGCAGAGTAGAGTAATTTTAACTTCTCCAGTGGTTTTATGTCAGACATAACACAATAAAATACTGGTGTTAGTCCAAATAGATCGACAGGAATATTTAAATTTATATTTTGATGTATTAAAGTGTTGACATCATCAAGTGTACCATATTTACAAGTATTACGTATTGATTTCTCGTCCATTTTATTGTTGTCGGTTGTTTTATTATAGTTAGTTGTTATTACATCTTGTGTAACAAATGGTTGGTTTAATAATGGAGTTGTTGATGTGATGGTGTTTAATAATATTGCTAGAATGTTTGCTCTTGAAATAAGATGGCTTTATATTTTATTTATTAATATCTTTGGCAAGTTAGTAATTTCAAACATATTCACATATATAGTGTGCACTAAATCAACTTAGTCTGTAATTGACAGTTGACATATAAAAAGAGCTCTTTATCGAAAACATATGTCAATTATTTACCACCAGAATTACACGTGAGTGGAATTATTCTAATTGCATCATTTGATTTAAAGTAACCAATCATTTTGTTAATTACACAAGTTCAGGGCCATGATCACGCGTTATTGTGCATGATATTCATTTACCTTTAAAAGAAACCGGGGAACCCTGTAAGTCAGACTTGCATTAGATTCCAGAGATCGCGGGTACATCTGAGTTCCTAGACAGCCGAGAGGCTGGATAGGGTGGAGAAGTGGTTTTAGCTATATAGTATTGTAATTTGTGCTATGCTTGTATACCTGTATTCAGTTATATGCTATATAAAATGTAGAAGCGAACTATGCATTATTATTCCTGGTAAGACAAACGTCTTAAGAAGCTGGAAGAAGTAAATACACAACGTGAAGCAGAAGTAAAGACAGCTAAAGACAAATTCTAGACGATCACAAGGCTACAGAAATATGTAGTAAGAAAAGATGCATGGGTCGTATGTAGGATGTGGCGATCGGTTTCCCATAGACGCTCTCCACGTCAGACAGAAGGACCTATGGTGATACAGGTGGTGGCCATATTGTTTTGTATAGATGTCTGACTATATTTAACATCATCTGAAATTATATAATATTCATACTAGTTGATTACCTGTTCATATATACCGTTCTGATGGTGGTTAAAAACCCTTGCCATCTTTAAACTAGGTTATCTTTGTTGTCTGAACGTACAGGTGGGGTAATTTCGAGTATGATATACACCTGAGTAATTTTAATTATAGTTATAACCCTTCGACTAGAAAATTACTTGCCTTTTCTTTAATTATTAATTAAAATGGCTATAACGAAATGACATACCTGCAATGGTCATCCCTTTGCTTTCTTCATCTATTAGTAAGTGATCATATGTATCATCCGTATCTGTAATAGAAACATATATATATTAGTAAGTACAGAAGGGTACCACATAAACAAAGGGGGTTGCTAGGCAACGAAGCATACGCACACTAAGGGCGGGTCCAGAGACCATGGACAGGAGGGGGCGCACGGGATGTGAAGTTGTACGTTGCGAAGTAATCAGCGTGGGGTCTAGCCATAGGTGGCCTCCCGCGGAATATTTCTAAAACTAAGATATGAGACAAGAATCCGCTGGTTCGACATGGGCGTGGGGGGGGGGGCGTGCGCCGCGTTCGCCCCACCGCCTAAATCCGCCCTTGGCACACACCAGCAGCTAAATCGTCCGGGCAGCCATCAAGGTTTGTTGCATATTTTTTTTGTCAGTATGAGTAGACCTAATTAAAACATTTAAATCAAAAATACAACACAATCAAATCTTATTTAGAGCAACAAAAACCCATCGGAATTTGTTTGGCTTTTAGTTCTGCCCCATGCTAACGTTTAGTAATAGTATACACATTTAATATTATGGATTTAGCTGTTCAAGTTATCAATCAATGGGCTTCGTCTCGAGAGCATTCACAACGTTTTTAAAGAGATCAAGGACCATAACTCTGACGGTAATTATCATTATCAAAAATCATTCAAAATTGCATGACCTTAAACATTGTATATAAAATGGAAATCGATCGGATTTACCTTTAGCCCCTAGAGCGCACTCCAAGTCCAAATTCCAAAAGATTGATTTTTCGAAGTGATCAAGGGCCATAACTCTGACAGTAATTATCGGAAATCGTTGAAAAGCAAGTCTCCTTCGTCTCATGAGCTTAACGCTCTGTAATAAATTTGAAGTACATCGAATATTTAGGCCTACCAAAACAGGGATGACGACAATATACGACCAGATTTGAATATTAAAGTTCAGAAGATAAGCCCACTCTAACAACAGTAACAAGACACATGACATGACAAAAGTATTAAGTAATTAAATAGACTTCTTCGTTTCACTAAATTGTGGACGACGGACGGCAATACTACCACATTTCCATGTACAAGATTATGTACCAGAAAGAAGAAATTCTGCAACTGCAGAGTCGACCTGTCGTCACCAAATTGTTCTGCAAAATGAAATCTCTTGTTGGCTGTCGTCTGCTGAATGACGTCACTTGACGACGGTTGTCTGCCAAATGACGTAATTAAATTTAGAATGTTAAAAACATCGTCGTCAAGTTATCGCTGAACAGATCAGTCATTTTTAGAAATGTATTACTGAATTGTGTTGAAATAAAGTAGAGTCTCGGTCGGTGTTGGGGAGGGACTGTTGGATTCCCCTGGACAGTGCAATGTCCAAAAATAAACCAAAATCTTTACTAGATACATTTGTTCGTTTAAATCAACATAAATAATAATTATTTCATACGTATACACACACCATACGTGATTGTTTGAGGTTATTTAAAGGCCAGATCGACTTATTTCCCTGACAATTAAAATAAAATACAATTTAGCTTGATTTGTTTGATTGGTCATTTGTAAATATTCATTTTTTGAATCAGGTTATATTATTTTTGAATATTGATGTCACCATTATGCATAAACACTTCTACCGGTAGGACTAATATATTTTTTTATTTGAGCAATGTTAGTAGGCTACCCAAGGACTGTATTTAATACATTAGTAGGTCAGAACCAGAGCCTTATGATATTGCTTAGCAACACAGTCGCCTATTGAACTTTTGGGAAATCAAGCCACAACACTGTTGAGAGATAATAAAATTTGAAGAAATTTATAAAATAGATTAATAGCGGCCTATGTTTTGAGTTCACCAGTTAACAAGTCACCAGTTAAATGTGAATTAAATATGCTCATCTATTTAGACTTTTCTTTTTTAGAATTATTGTACAGCTTTGTAGACAAATTGTAAAATATCAAGTTGTTGGAAAATTTTGTGATTGAACGCTGACCCCTGTAGGACCCTTTTACTGTGGAATGGCAGACAAAAGTTGAGAAATATCGATTCAAGGGAGATAACTACATATTGTAGGCCTATTGACGATGACTATTCCATGAAAATCTTTTGATTTGTGATAGTTTATTGTTTGTAATTATATATTCTCACTCACTCACTTAGTTTCTACCAGAATAAATTTATATTTACCATATGTTGAAAGATGTTATAGATGCTTTATTTTTGAAACGTTGAAGGAACATAATAAAACTTGAAAATTTTGTGAGATCTAAAAATTTTGTTGACTTTATGAGAAGAAAACTTTGAAATTAATATGTGCTTATCGGAATGAACATAATTGCACATAAGCGTATTAACAAAATAAGTCGAAGACTACAAATACACAAAATCGGATGTCATCCTCAATCACAATCATAGGAGCAGAGGTCAATTTAGAGGGTTTTAGAACATAACTTGTTCGTGGCCTATTCTCTGATTTAATACTTTCCGGGAATTCACATACTGAACAAAAACAAAAAAAAACAAAAAAAACAAAATTGTTGGCCAGAAATAATGGTCATCAAAATAGCTCTTATTGATTTTACAGGCCAATAATTTTCATCTTAAAGAGGTCACTAGAGCCAAACTTCGACTTGACATTGTAATATCGACTACTTAAGTCTACCCATACAGATACGCCCCCTTACACCTTTACGCCAAAAAACATTGAGTCCTAATGTTATATTTTCATGTAGGCTAAATACAACCAAGACGAAAGCAAAAATGAATTTCAACTTCAGTCACAAAATAACTTAAGTTTTATTGCGAGTACGGAATTGGAATGTACAATACTGATCAGAAATGAAATAAAATGGGGTTTAACGTCCGACTGAGCTGATGAAGACGGGCATACGAACGACTATATGTTGTCCCATGTCGGGCCCTCCGTTTGCACCACTAGCAAGGAAAAACCACGACAGAAAACCACGATGAACTTCTTGGCCATTGCAGGGATCGAACACAGGGTCTCCAGCTCTTACTCATACTCATTCAGCCACTGCGATTCCCAGAATTAGTATTAAGGAAGTTATGCTGGTTTATAAATGTATTAAATCATAAATAAATTTCTGTTATTGTCTGCAAAACACAAAAAAGCGGACAGATGCCCGGGCGGACAGGGGCGACGACAATATACGTCCACATGAACACATGGGCGTATAAATTATCTTTTAAACCAAAAGAGTCCAAAAATGAAATACGTGCCTTTGTTGACAAGCGGTTGCCATGCATCACATTTCCACATCCAATCATTGGCCGAATGCTTGACATCAAATTTGAATAAATCTGTTAAAACTATCGCATAACAAAAGTGTTCGGAAAAGGCTGGTAATTCCGGAACGGGAAGTCATTGACACATAAATTCACTGGACAATAACAGCCATATTACCCATAAAACTATCCGTATCAGCTGTGCGAATTACAGCATTACCAGGAGCTATAGGAAGAAATTGGGGTGGAATATTCTTGAATCAGCCTCTTTTTAATATTTTTCCTTTTAATTTTTCCATAATGGCTACCTTTTCTGCAGATCCAATGTTGAAAATAGATAAATGATTTGTTTGATGTGGAGAGAATGGATTAATAAACTGTCCACTTCTTAGATTTATGGTCTATAACATAAATTTTAAGTTTGATAAAAATCGGATAAAAATTGTGACCTCTGGTGGATCCACAACCTTGGAATTACATACCTTTACACTATTTGCGCACAATGAACGGCCATTTTGACGGATAGTTTCGAAATTTGAACTCAACCATTATTAGGGCGTAACGGTGGTATATTTAACGATTTTGTAAAATTAGATAAAAGTCGGACGTAATCCAGAAAATTACAGTCCGGTATGCGCAAATATCGAAAAGAAGCGAGCTATTTGGGATGCAAACATATATTTTAAGTTTCATCAAAATCGGATCAAAATCGTGACATCTAGGTGGTCCACAACCCTTTTTACATACTTTAACACTATTTACGTGCAAGGAACTGCCATTTTGGCGGGCAGTTTTGGCCCCATACTGTAAATTGGATAAAAACTGTGACCCCATAGAGTGTCTAAAAGCTAAACACGTGATTAGTCGTACAATCAGGGGCCAAAATCCAGGAAGTTACAGTCCAATACATTCCAATGTCCAAAGAAACCGAGATCGTTTAGAGATAAACCTATATTTCAAGTTTCGTCAAGGTCGGATAAAATATTGTGACGTGTAGAGTGTCCACAAACAAATTGTGGATGGACGGACAAGGGCGACAGCAATATACATTATGAAAACGTGGGTCTTACCTGCTCCATTTTCCAATAGAACATCAACCATCTTTTCGTCACATTTAGCGCGGGCTTCCGTCAGTGGTGTTCTACCGCACGCATCTTTAGCATTAATAGGCGATCCAGCTTCCACCAACAGTTCTATAATGGCAGATGTATCAATATCCAAACGACCAGCATTGGAGTTGGCAGCTACGTGAATGGGTAATTTTTCGTCTTTGTCAGTCACGTTAACAGAAGAATTCAGTTTTATGAGACAATTTATTGTCAAGATCTTTCCTCGTTGAATTGCTAGAATTAGAGGAGTGCGACTGTTTTCATCCTTAGCATCGATATCCGCACCCTTTTCAACGATATATTTGACGATTTCTGGGATGTCATAATCAGAATCACAGGCATAGTGTAAAACTGTACGCTGGTTAAGATCCACAGAGGTAAAGTCTATATCTGTAAAAGTACTAACATGTTTCAAAGTATCCAAACTGTTTGACTGGACTGCTGCACGAATAAGTCGTTGAATGTCGGCTTTACTCTGACGTTCCATGACATATTTCTGATCACGTAAATAGTTTATTTTATCTTTTACTTCTTTCTCGGATTTAGCGGCAAGGCTTAGTAAATCGAACCCAAGCTTTGTTTTTATGCCAGACAAATTGGCAGTAGTTTTGCTGTAGTATGAGAAAACTATTTGCAGCTCGTTTAAATATCCTAATAAGCATACATAGTGTAGAAAATGTCCTTCATCGATTGAACCAACACCAAGTTGCATCTTCAGCTCAGGGTTTAGCAGTACTTCAGCACTGTCTCGATTAAGAAATTCATGCAAAAAATTACTCTCAAGAAAGGCTTGGTGGAATAACACCGCTTTATTTCCCTCCCGCAACTCACGAGAGAATCTTTCATATAGATCAACATAACAATGTGGCTGCATAAAAACATTTTGATCACCTTGGGCGGTAGAAACGTGGTCAATTAAGAGTTCAAAAGGACAGTATTTTATCGCCAGTTTTATAAATCGTTGAGAAACATGAAGGAGAAAGCATCTGATCACCTTTTCTGGTAAAAACATGCGATTCTCATTGGCATCATCACATAAAACGTACGAACCAGTTAAATGTTTGCATGAATCCAGAATATCTTCTACACCACCCGGATTCCCCATTTCTTGTTGTATTTGAGTTTGTATCAAGTGATTCGTCTTTTGTCGGATTTCATCCTCAGAGATAGGTTGTGGACTAAATATAACCAATAGAGCCATATACTTAATTCTATCTTCATTCCAGAAAATATCGTATTCCCTACGCAAAAATTCAAACAGACTATTCAACACCCTTGTTGTTTGTCCTGTCCAGGTTTTGCTACAAAGACTGACAATATCTGGAAAACCAAAGCATCCTGAACTGTGTTCCAGCATCTTCTCCAGCTTTATGTCGCAACAGTTTCTGAAATGGTATCGCAAAATATCCTTTTTTTCATCCTTTGACAACTGGAATTGCGTTCCATGAAGCTGCAACTGATATGGCATAGAGAATATTTCATATTTCCTAAGAAGATGTTGACAAGCCTGGTAGACATCATTTCTCATCACATAGATTATTGCCGAATTGCGTTTTTGTTTTGCTAAAAAAAATGACTCAAAATGTTTTGGCCATTCATGTATTTGTTGTTTTAGTGTACTTGTCCAAATACCAAACATATCATCAATGATCATGAGATAGCTATCCTCATCTGTGAACCTTATGGTATCCATGTCTCTTGGGTGTCGTATTTCCAGTGGAATAAAATTTGTATGTACCTTCAAGAACGAATTGGCGATCATCCGACATAATACTGTTTTACCATCTCCTACAGCGCCAATTATACCCAAGATAAAATGTTCTTCCAAAATACGTTTCCCTTCTTCAAAGGCCCTTGTCTCTACAAACTGCTTACTTGTGGCATCATCAAGTAAATTTTCGGCATCTTGAAAGAAAAGGAACAATTTTCAATAATATTCTTCTATCTAATGAATATTAAGTATATTGATATAATAACCAAATCCTATATCTAAAATGCTATGATAGTTATATGAAATTTCAACCTCCCTTCCCAATACGTTGATTTCTCGGTGTAAGGTAATTTGATAAATAATAATGACAGTATTATTTTGCGTTAGTATGTTTATGCATTCTTAGTAGTCTTGTTTATACTCCATATATAAATCAGTTGATATATTCCTACTGGTAGTATTGATATGATAACTATATTATAAAATCATACATTATTTATTAGACAATGTAAACTCTAGAACTAACCTGTTTGGTATTTAGTTTTCACTCGTTCGGGTTTTGGTAGTGGATTCTGTTGGACAAGAGTTATATTTTGTCTACCAGATTTTTTCAACTCATTATTTTCACGCTCGAGTCGTCTAATTCTCTTCTCTAAATCACATGTTTGTTGTTTTAGTGTCTCAGTGTATGCTTTTTCAGCTTCCCTGAACATTTGATGTGTATAGGAGCGTCCTTTGGTTTCAGTGACTATTGTTTTAATAGTGTTTATAATAGCTTCGATTTCTGGGTTGCCATCGACCGTGACATCACTAACATAATTTAAAACTAAACATCTGTGTTTACAACGATCTAAAATATTCTTTATTGACGTCGGTAATTCGTGAAGCAAGTTTTCTTTGGATTTAATCTTCTGGCTCTGGTTATTCAGTATGACAATAAGATGGTCATTTATGTCTTCACCAAACACGTCGCACAGAGACCGCAGGGCATTTTCTTCCTCTTCTGTGAACCTCACATCAATTCTGACAACCATTAAAAATATGTGAATACCAGTAAATTTAAATATGGAAAGGAACTTTTTAACAGTTTTTGTATTGTCATCTCTTGTGTCAAATAAACCGGGAGTGTCCATGATGGTCAAGTTAGTATCTGCATCTAATGCCCGTTCTCCATTTGAACAAACTGATGTACACGAATGCATCGAATTACTGCACTTAAAATAATCTCTATGTAGAAGTAAATTTCCTAAGTGACTTTTACCAACTCCGGTCTTGCCAATGACCGCCACTCTCATATATAAAGGAGTTTGTTCACCTGTAAAATAATAAAGGGTTATTATCTTTCTAATGTTCACATGAAATAAAACTAAAGAAAAAAAGACGGGTTACAGGATCTCAAGTCTCAGATATCCTTCAATACGAGAGGAAGAGAGAGAGAGAGAGAGAGAGAGAGAGTAAGCGTGTGTGTGTGTGTGTGTGTGTGAGAGAGAGAGAGAGAGAGAGAGAGAGAGAGATTTGGTGAAAAACATTGCAATAAAATTCTTGGTATATCGAAAATTATATTCAATTGTCGAAAATAAATATGGCTTGGATTACAGAATGTATAAGTCCTATTGCTGATTTGCAAGAGACAATAAATAATTTATATATCATTACAATTGATGTGGACAGTCGGCATTCTTGGATGTTCTATTGACAATTGAAACGAATAACGGATATGTATCTCATGGTGTCATCCATGCCATACCTAAGACAATATACACGCACCACTGTCACAGATAAAATACTTCGGATTATCAAATTAGGTGAGGCGTTGGGATACAAAATGTAAAATTTGTCTTCTTCTGGTACATGAAATTCCCTTGGCTTGAACATAGGCTTTTAAGTTTAATAATTGTCGTCTATGTTACATAAAGAGACAGTATTTAGCAATGAACTCTATTCGTTCTAGTAATATATGAACTATAGGAGAATCCCTGGAGGGGGATATTTAAATGAATATCACTGACAAACTAAAATAATGATATCGAATGTAAATTGTGCTATTTTACTTACCCGGTGATAATTGTTCGGCTACTGCTCCATATCCTGATTTATTTAAACAATGGATGAATTTAGAATATGCATGTCTACCGCAAGCTCGAAGAATATCTAGAAATGTACGTATCATTGCCTTTCTACCGCCAGATTCTGCCCCGTTGATTACTTCCAAGTCATCTTCATTTAGTACATATATCTCAGTCAAACTGTCTAATAATGGTTGTAGAGGAATCAGATTCTCGATTAAATACACATAGTTAGATATTATCCTATCGTCATCTTCAGGTAACATCTTCCCCTTCTCTCTTCTAGGTATAACATTTCTCCTCTTAGCATCAGGTGAGCTCTCTTGGTATTCGACTGGGAAAATAAACACCATAATATTATACACTTGTCTATAACAATAATCATTAACATAAATATTATAACACGGTTTGACCTTTATCAAAACCCTCATTTATCTTACAAGTTATAAGTAAATATAATAGCGATAAATATGTAATATATATTTGTAAACTTTCTGAAACAATCTATACGTGCATGTGTACATGACTATCACGTATGTATTGTGTTTATTTATAGAAACAGCATATCAACGTCATTTGATGCTGACGTAACTTCCACCAATTATTGTACTTTACATTACTTTTTTATTCAATTTCTTTAGAATGTGTAAAATGGATTGTAAGAAATTACGAGAAAAAATACTAATAAGTTTTAAACAGATTATTTTCTAAACGAGGGACCTCATATTTTTGCAGGTATAATATGAAACTTATCTGCCATTCTGCTATTATCAATACCTCAACTCCATGGAAGACTTTCGATATACAGTTCACTGCCCGTTACTGACCACCGACAACTCAATTTCGCGGTTTTTTTCCATTCTTTATTGTTTTAGCACAAATATTCAACTTTCTTTCCTTAACTAATAATCACCCCAAAATATATCATACTAATACAAATTTTATTTATCTACTATGTTCCAAACATGGCCAAAAAGCTTGATAATAAACGGTGCTGATGACAACAAAAGATGAATTTTCTCTAAACTGGCATGGATTTCCATCACCTTCGGCATGGACAATGCTAATTGTAAGTCCACAGGCCGTGGTTTATGAAATATCAACTCAAAGTATTTTAAAACCCCTGTTTATTATTAATAATAATGAATAAAATATTTTTAAATCACAAGATTCTACAACATGAAAGAAGGATCATAACTCTTCACAATCATTGGCCTATTGCTTTACATCGAATTTGAATAAAATATGTTAAAACTGTAGCCTTTATCGCATGTCCAGGGGGATAATTTTGGAATTAGAAGTAAATACCACATAATTACACGGACACACAGACGGGCAGAGCCGACGACAGAATACGTCCACACGAAATTGCACCAGGAATTCTTTATTGCAGTATCTTTAAGATTACCTGGAACTTGAGAACTTGGTTCTGTAATGATCTTGTTATCTATCTTCACGGCACATTTCGGACAAAATGAAAAACTTGGATCCAAATTATAGTGACACTTTGGGTTTTTACACTTCATATTGAAACTGAAAAATAAATAATAATGGTATTTGATCAAAACAATCTTGTTTAAGATCTAGTGGAAAAACACTTTCAAGAATCTGTGATGGGACTGTTAAATTGATTACGTGGCATTAAGTTCATGAACAAAACAGGACATGATTATTTTTTTTTCAATTAACTAGCTTTTGTTCTATTGCTGTATTTCTAGATTACTTGAATAATATCAACATCGATACCGCAACAATATATGTCCGCATTCCTGGGGGTCGGGGCATGCACCAGAATAAATAATTGCTATTTTTACGGTATAAGGAATAAATATGCAAATTGCCAAGATGATCAATTCAGAATTGCAGCCTGTGGCTCGGTCCCTCCATGGGGTTGGATATAATATAAATAGATAGATGCAACCCTGTGATGGATCAGGCCGAATTAGATCGAAATCTGTTAATAATTGCAACTTGTGGGTGTTGCACCGCCCAAGCGGGGCATTTCATGCAACAAAATTAATAGTTGCCGTCCTTAGGTTATAAGGACACGGGGGAACCCCGCCGGAAAATCTGGATGAACTTTTTCGGTCAATGTAGGGATCGAACACCAGACCTCCTAGCTAGCAAGCCAGCGTCTTACCCACTTAGCCACCGTGACTTCCAAGTTCATATGAGATTAGGCCATTGTCGTCTGCCATTTGAGTTTATGTAGAGTCTTTAAACAAAGACTAAATTAAAAAAATGTGTTTCATCAAGATCGGATAAAAATTGTGACTTTTAGATGACCACAACCTTAATTGGTATTACATACTTTTACACTATTTGGGCACAAGTAGCAGCCATTTTGTCGTTCAGTGTCGGTCTGACTTTCACGAAATGCAAACCCAGTCATTATGAGGGTGTAACAGTGATATGTTTAAAGGTTTTTTTTTAAAATGGATAAAAAATGTGACCTCTAGAAGGTCCAGAAGCTACCAAAACGTGATTTTGGTACAATCAGGGGCATTAATCCATCACGTTATATCCGACATGCGCGAATATCGCAAGGAACCGAGATCCTTGGGTTAGAAACATTTTAAGTTACATCCAAATCGGATATAAAGTGTGACCTCCAGAGTGTTCACAAGCTAAATACGTGATTTTTCTACAATCAGGGGCCAAATACATGACAATATTAAAAGGAACCAAGATCTTTGGGAGATAAACCTATATTTCACGTTTAGTCAAAAATCGGATAAAAATTGTCCCGGCCCGTCTTTGTTCCGTTTGAAGCTATCGTCATTGTCAGGGTATCCGGACAAAGTCCCGGTATGAAGACCGCTTTAATGATCGCCCTAGGTACGGTGACTGGGTAGGGTGATCATTAAAAATGAAACTGAAATTTTTGTCAATTGCGGACTGTACGGCAGTACAGTATGCTCGTGTAGCCGGAGCTTTATCTCTGGGGTTTTCGGGTAACAGAGAAGCTAATTTGCAGCAGTGGTTTTAACGGTTTATTGAACACAAAACAAAAACATTGAAAATATAAACACAAAGAGATTTCAAACATGCAAATAAGGCGGACGAAACATAATCAAAATAGAAATAAATATACAAAATAAGGCGGACGAAACATAATCAAAATAGAACTAAATATGCAAAAGAAACATATAACATAATCTGAACTAAATACATTTATAGATATGAAATGAAATGAAATGGGGTTTAACGTCCTACTGTTCTGCGCCTAACCTGGGCTAATGAAGACGGGCATACGCCATACAGTGTGCTATGAGGGAAATTTTGCCCGGACAGCGGCACTACGGCCTACTCTTATATCGAATTCCAACTGCCAACGGATCTTTTACGTGCACGCCAATGTGTACACGGGGCCTCGGTTTTTCGTCCCATCCGAACGACTAGACAGCTTTCCATGTCAGCCCCTCCGTCCTGCATCACTGACAAGGGAGAACCACGCCGGAAAATCTGGATGAACTTTCTCGGCCAATGCAGGGATCGAACACCCGACCTCCAGGCTAGCGAGCTAGCGTCTTACCCACTTAGCCACGTGATCCCCAAATACATTTATAGATATATCAACATTTAAAAAGATAGAAGAGAAAAACAGGAAAACTAAACATACCCTGGGAAAGGTGTTTTAATTGTATTATATACACCAGTGACGATCTATGTTACACATAAAACACAAGCTAAAATAAAACAAACACCACAATAAATAATTACCACTGGGAAAAGGGTGAAAATGGCGGGAAAACTAAAGATATGAAATTATAGATAAATTAGAGAAACTCCTATTACAAGAATTATTAATTAAACTACTGAGAACAAACCTATACTAAATATATTTACTGATAAATTAAACTTGATAAAATTACTAAAAACAAGAAATATGATATACCTGAAGTTTAGAAATACACAAAGGTCCTGTCATTAGTCATGTCAAGCTAGAAGTGCAGTTTCAAACAAGGTGCAAGCCAGGTAAACTCATTAAAACAACTCACTAAACACAATACAACGCACACTCTGGACACCACATCTTGGCTAGCTTCCAAGACATCAAGCTGACATAAGATACACAACCATATATTACATAAACTTTACTTACATATAAACAACAAAACATTTATAAATTACACCCTACTACACTATCCCCCCACCCCTAAAAGTGGCGTCCCGACACTTACTAACAACCACCCCATTAAAATAAAATGCACATACTATCAATACCAACCGAAATTCAAAATTCGAAATCCAAAGACGATCCAAATCAACTATATTTACAATCCAAAATCAAAGTCCATAACCGTTCCAAATCCAACTATATTCATAATCAAAATCCATGAACAGTCCAAATCTAATAAATATAAACCACTGTGTTTAATCCAAGATCCAATAATAGATATTCCAACCGGATATAAGTTACCGAAAGCTAAACTAAAAACGTGGTAGTAGCATGGACCTTATAATACATCCATGGTAGTAGTATCTCAAATGTTATTATGTATTACTTATTATGAAAAAAACAACCAATAGTAAATACCAACAGAAATTATATATTAATACTCTTTTATAAAAGCCAGGCATCGGATGTCATCCATTTGGGTGGTTTACGTTGACGTTTTGGTGGAGAATTAGAATGACATAATTCGGGTTCAAATAATGAAACTGGAAGAAGTAGTTTTGGAATTGGGGGCACAGAGGTAAGTAAAGGGGTTGAAATACGTGAACTGGGTGCAGAAATTGTTTGAGAAACTGAAGAAATTGGAAGTAGAAGATTCATGTGTAAAGTACGTCTTTCCGAACTGTTATTTCTCTGAACTGTAAAAACTGGAACATTATTATTAGGTTGTGAAATAATTATGTAGTAGTCATTCTCCCATTTGTCTGCTAACTTGTTTTTACCTCTTATTTGAACATTTCTAACTAGAACTATATGTCCCACATTTAAAACTGCACCGCGTACCTTTTTTATTTTATTTGTTTTATTTTAATTTGAATCATAATTTAATTTTTGCTGAACTTGTGCTTTATTGATGTTATCGATTGCAAGTGTTTTAACTGTATTTAATTTATGTTGTAGATCTTTAGCAAATTGAGAATAAGATTTCTGAGATGGCTGAGAATAAACTGAACTGCCAAGAATAAGATCTGCTGGTACCTAAGGAGTTCTACCAAACATTAAGAAAAACGGAGAAAATGAAGTTGAATCATGCTTGGTAGAATTATAAATAAAAACTAAATACTGTACATAATCTTTCCAGTTTTTCTTCTGTTCTTCCGACAATGTCCCAAGCATATTAAGAAGCGTTCGATTATGGAGTTGAGCGGGATTTCTGGATACCAAGAATAGAACAAATTTCCTTGATGATGTTACTTTCGAAGTTACGCCCTTGATCAGAATGTAGTTGGGAAGGAATTCCATAGGGCAGAAAGAAATGATTAAATAAAACCTTAGCAGTTGTATTCTTGGTACTACCAGATAACATGAAGAATGCCTTGATGGCGTTTAAATGCAATTACACATCAATAAGCGTTTAATTGAGAATTAAAGACTATGAATAAAGAACTAAGAATTAAGAACACTGTATAAAGAGCTGTTTGGTCTTCCATACCTTCGTCGCAAACCCTAAACATTGTATACACAAGTCTGTGGAAGACCAAATGGAACAATATTCATGATTCTTGTTTCTACATTCCAGTTTGAACATTTTAGACACGAACGCAACATTCTAAACTAATGATTCTTGTTTCCATTTTTGCCACATGCGAAACACGCCTAGGTCCAATTTGCAAGCACTATCCTATAGTTATAATAAATATGAAAAAGTAAACAAATAACAGTGAATAGATTCCATTTACAACACAGCATTATCATCCATTTTTGCCATATTCGAAACACGTGTAGGTCTAATTTGTAAACATGAAAAAGTAAACAAATAACAGCGAATATGTAAGAAAGGCCTTCGTCCTAATTTTTCTAGCTGTTTAAATTATAGAAGCTATTTGTATTGTTATTATATCTCGAGCTTATTTACTGTTTCAGCAACTTATTACTGTAAACATAATAGGGGACCACTTCCACTCGTGGAAAAGTCTACTTTTGATTTCTAATATATAGTCTGTATCAAATTTGTACACATATGCTAACGCCCTCTGGTGTAATAATGTTGATAATTCATTATATTTTTCTGGACATTTTCATTTCAAGATTTTAACTTCAAGACTTTTTGAAACGCAGAAAATATTTTCATAAAGAGTTCAAATTCCATATTTTTTTAGATACTTTCAGAAACCAATGAATTGATTTCTTTGTCGTGTAAAATTAAGAAATTATTTTTTAATTTTAATATTTAATGATATATAAAAGTTACCGATAAAACGCCGAAAATGAAACATAAAGTCAATTTTTTGTTTAAAATGTTGATTTTGTGCATGAAATGTTGACATAAGAATGTAGAAACAAGAATCATTAGTTTAGAATGTTACGTTCGTGTCTAAAATGTTCAAACTGGAATGTAGAAACAAGAATTATGAATATTGTCTCATTTGGTCTTCCATACAAGTCATATGGGTGATAACGTTGTTCTCCAGAGCGTGCGCAAGTAATACCAAAGTGATCAAGGGTCATAACGCTTGCAGTAATTTTTGGATCTATCGACTGACGACCATACGGGCGACGTAAATATACGACCACATTTCAATGTAGGCGTTCAGAAATCATATTTTTCAGCGGTTTTCCAAAATGGTTTCACCTTGTTAGAGGTGCAGGACGCGAGCAGGAGACATGGGGAGGGGTTGCGGCGGAAATTACGAGGACGTAATGGAACCCTCGACAGTTTGAATTTGGAATAAGAGTTGGTCCTAGCACCACTGTCCAGGCAAAATATCCCACATAGTACACTACATACCGTGTGCTCGTCTACACTGGTGTAGAATAGTAGCGTGTTTGATATACTATGCCATAGTTTAAATAACCTCGGACTGTCCCCAGCTATATTATTTTTTGTCTAGAGTTTTTAATTAACAAAAATAACATATTGTCACCAGGAACGGTTAAATAACGACATGATTAAAATTAATATGATTTGAGTGGGAATATTAGCAGATTGTTATATGTTTGGGTAAATTGCCCTGTTAGTGGTAATCAGTGAACATGCCCACGAATTGACCTTCCGAGTCGAAAAAACCCTTTGACTTTTGCACTTCTCGCGGCGATACATCAAGATTATAATATGGCCGCAATAGGCCACCGTAGTATAGGGTAATTCCCCCGTTTCCACGACCGTTAAGCGGATTGGATAAAATAATATGAGTCATTATGTATTGTTTAATGGTCGAGAGCGAGACATTAAGTAATATATTGTAACAACAAGAGGACCGTCAGGTCCGAGTGTTTTTACAATATATTACGCAATGTCTCAGCTCGAGACCATTAAACATCTTAAAATACTGACACTCCGCACGTGCATTTACAGTGAAATACGTCACTCGAGTCTAATATTTGACAAGGTACGATTGGCAAGTTGCCCGTACGATTATTTGAAATAATGGTACGCCAACATCAAAGGGTGACGTCACATCTGTATTTTAATTGCTATTAATACACCCATACAATACAAAACAATACACAGACTGACAACTCTTTATGATGTTTTGTTGTAACAACACTACAGCAGAATACTTAATATTGACAAATATTCAGGCGACTTATAGGGGACGATTTCTCACGCCATGACGAATAAAAGGTCAAAATTAATCTCTGTACACCAGTGTGATTAGTAATAAATAGGGGATAATGAAATGCAAATATCTATGCAGGTTGTGATATAATAAATAGTCATGGACACTTGACATGCTTTGAAAGTATTTTCACAGATGAACAACTTATCGCCCCAGCTGAACCACTCTGCTTAACATATGTGACACGCAACAGCGCCATACACTTGAGAGGGTTCATTGTCAAATTTGACACTTCAAATGACAGTTGGAATTCGATATAAGAGTAGGCCGTAGTGACGCTGTCCGGGCAAAATTACCCTCATAGCACACTGTATGGCGTATGCCCGTCTTCATTAGCCCAGTTCGGAGCAAAACAGTAGGACGTTAAACCCCATTTCATTTCATTTCATTTCATTTGTTATTTAATTTTAATCAACTATTTTTTCTACTTTTGCCATTTTTACGTATGTACCGATTTTACATGTACCATTTCTAACCTGACAATATTAAATGTGCTATTTTTTCCTATTTTCCCCTTTATTAAATATTCCTATGTCGTTATTACTTACATTCACTAACATCAGATATTTTTTAAGGATCAAGTTAGCTACCCATTACTAAAAAAATCTTCAATTATTCCAAAGTATGCTATTTTTTTATAATCTATTATTTTTAGTTTTTGTGATAGAGACACATATAATTTAAATTCTGAAATAACCATAAACTGTAAAAAAATGTCGTTATTGTGTGGAAAAAATTAAATCATATGATGACAAAGATTATATATTTTAAAAATATTTGGAAATCAGCCAGTTGTATTCGTCCAGAATTGTCTATTATTTATTTATGAATGCCAAAACTGTATTATGTCTTTTGGTAAAAAACAAAGTACCTAAAATCTATTATAGAGTCCATGACGGAAATAATAAAAGTATGAGCAGTATTTTACTACCAATTTTTCTTTGCAATGGCGCATTACAATATTCAAATTTAAATACTGTTCAGATAATTTTGTGTGTTGTCTTTTTTTTAATCCTAATTTGTAATTTTATAGCCTTCTCCTACATACATACATCTAGATCTACATTCTTCATTCTTTTTTACCTTTTAGGATCTCGTACGTAACTAACGTACGAAAATTAATTGGTGACTAGCTGTTTTTTTCGCACGTATACAGTGAATGGCCATTTTGCTCAGTAATCCCAGCCAGAATTTGGCTTTTTTCTAAATTTGCGTTAAAGTTTAGAATATTTGTTTTAGAACTGAAATAAATTAACTATTAGTCAATCCCAACGCTAAAAACATCAACAGAATTGATTGTGTATATCTGAAATAGACACGACCGACGCACAAAATAGTGCCAAGATGGCTGCAGACGCTGTCATTGAAGACAACGTCAATTCTATGAGTTGTAGATGTTATTTTTGTGAAAAATCATTGGAAAAAGAGAGAACATGTTGGGACTATACGAATTATATAGTCTTTATGGGTGCAAAGGACACAATGCTGAAGATAAACCTATTGTTTACAATGTAACGTGTTGTTGACCTCATGACCCATTGACGTCAATGTCATGACCTGTGATGTGTAGATGACGTGATATGGATATCATGGCTATTGACTGTGTCTGAGATACTTCTCCGCAGGTAGTGTGTCTCAGATGTTCAGAATGTTAGGATCTTTATATAAATATCCCATTTTATGTGGCCTATATCATTTTATTTAGAAATACTACTTATATTATTTTCCTATATCCTATGTTCTCCTTTACAAATTACAATTCTGTGTTTTCAGTTTTAATTGCAGAGCAAACAGCACAAATTTGTCGTTTTTAAAATATAAAATTACATTATATAACTATATTTTACAAGTCTATATCCCATATTCTTCTTTACAATTTAAAATTCCTTATTTCAATGTTAATTAAATAAAAACAAATAGTCCAAATCTATTCTTTACAAAATATAGGCCTTACATCATTTTCTTCATTTTTTTGTAATTTAACAGTTAATTTGTAAAGAAAAAAACTCAAGATGTGTTTTCCTTTCGTCTTGCGGTGAATATAATCTGTAATTTTAGCGTAGTTCTTTCTTTTTTTGAAAAAAAAAACAACTATTCACATATAGGCCTATGTTTGCGTACAATTTATAGCAATTTTTGAACAGTTCAAAAATATATAAGTCAATTTTTTTGCGGGTCTCATATATCTTCCTGTAATTTTGGAGTTTTTATATTGTTAACAAACACTAATTTCTTCTTTTAAAAACCTTACTTATATTATAGGACTATATCATATTTGTTTTTAAAAAAAATAATAAAAAACAAATACTTATATGAGTCTATATTCTATTTTTGTTAACAAAGAACTACTTATATTACATGCCTATATCCCATTCTCTCCTTTACAATTTACAATGCTGTTTTTCAGTGGTAATTTCAGAAAGAAAATATCACAAATTTATTTGTAAAAAAAAATATTGGATTACATTATATAACTATGCCTACTTTTTATCAAAGTCGCTTATGTCAAGGTAAAATAGATGATATATGACATCAAAGAACCTGTTTTCTCTGTATGCCTACTATTTATCGAAGCATTTACTACTTCTTCTGTAGTGTCTGATTGGTTCAAGTTAGAATGAAGTTAAGCACAAACAGAGTATACTTCATTTTTTCGATATTACGTTGCCATAGGAACGTTTGATATATTTCCAAATATTAAACTTTAAATCATAATATGTTTTCTTCGAATTCCGGAGCTCTTCGTGTATAATAAAGCATGCACACGACCACAAATCATTTTAAATAAATCGAAGCCCAGGCCAGGGGCCGTTGCTATGGTAGACACTTAAGTGACTCAAAATAAACAATACCAAACAGGCCCTGTCCATTACTACATACGCAGTGTGAGCATATATGGGTGATGCGCAGTGTAAGCGTCATGTAGGGATTGACAGGTTTGATATTAGCGATTTCTCCATTTCTACAAGTTACACCATTTTATTCAATGTATTGATATGATAGCATTAATATTATTTATTGCCTGCAGTGTCTGTGTTATTTGTCTGAAGTGTTTTGTCCCCGAATTTGTTGGATTTGTTCTGAAATTGACCAGTGGTGGGCGGGTGATCCCCTTAGAATATTATGAAAAAAATTGAAAAGTTGCGGGTAATGATCATCGAGCACGTGTCTATCAATGGTGAAAGATCTGTTGATTCACAATATTCTGAAGGGGTCACCCAACAAGTGTCTATAAGTTTGGTCCAGTAGTGCAAATACATTTATAAATAATCAAAACGAAATAATTAAAACTGCCAACATAATATCTTGTACAGCAAATAATGTGTAAAATAAAATCAAACTTACAGATGAGTAAAACACGGGCTGGGAGATAGACAGTGAAATAGTCAACCGCTTGAATCAAATAAAACTCGTTACTAATAAACATATTATATCACATGACACCAATTGATCATTGCGTTACTAAAGGAATAAAACTTTCCATAGATTCGTTCCCCGTGAATTTAACTTTAACTGAATTTAATATAATACATTTTATACAATGGCTTATATTCAATTTGCACGCGTCACTACTATGACAAACTAACTGAATAGACGATACATAGAAAAATCTTAACGTGGGCCAATATATAACTTAAATGGTGCGTTATTTAATATATTGGATTAAACAGAATCATCGGTGACCGATCAGCAATACCATACCTAATACCATTCCTAAAACCTATAAATTATTCAACTACCATGAAACTATAGAAATACACCAAGACTGAAATATGAGCATACTAGCAGGATACCCGGCTTCGCTCGGGGGTCATAACTCCGAACAGACCAACCCCGAACAGACAGGCTTCGCTCGGGGGTCATAACTCCGAAACCGGAAGTGGTAGACTAAGGCCACCTGGCCTATGTTACTCCCCGGTCCGAGCTACCCCTATACCCCAAATTTCAGACTCGGGGCAGACCTAGTGTAGCCGCCAACCCCGAACAGAAAGACTTCGCTCGGGGGTCATAACTCCGAAACCGGAAGTGGTAGACTAACACCACCTGGCCTATGTTACTCCCCGGTCCGAGCTACCCCTATACCCCAAATTTCAGACTCGGGGCAGACCTAGTGTAGCCGCCAAACCCGAACAGACCGGATTCGCTCGGCGGTCATAACTCCGAAACCGGAAGTGGTAGACTAACGCCACCTGGCCTATGTTACTCCTCGGTCCGAGCTACCCCTATACCCCAAATTTCAGACTCGAGCAGACCTAGTGTAGCCGCCAACCCCGAACAGACAGACAGACAAACAGACAGACAAACGACAGTCACAAATATATATATAGATAAAACTATGTGTTTAATGAATATATTTCTATTCTCCAACACCATATTCAGAATATATCTGTTAACTGTCCCCGAGTGCTTTTACGTTTAGTTAATGTCCATAATATTACTCTATAATAAATATCGAATTATCATTCAACAGTTTCAATATAAGACCCATCTTTACAAACATGACAGATCTTGATGGAAGAGTGCCATATATAATGTATTCTTCAAAGATTGCGGCGTAAAGTGTGGAACTACACCCACACAGTACCTATGTCACCACAGTTGGGTATCTAAAAGGAAAACTCGGACGTTGATAAATTTCATTCAAGAAATCACATCACATGCTCACAAACATTTCAGGACATATGTCTTTGGAAGAGGGTATAGTTAACGAAAGGAACGTTATGTCTTAAATACCCCATACCAACTTAGATATGGTAGTGGAATTTATGTGTGACTATTGTTGATAACTCTTCACCATCTCGTCCTCATTGCTGTCTTCAGGGTCCCAGCAGCAAATACCAGATGATAAATTGTCGCTTGAGGACGGGGGGGGGGGGGGCATTCACGGAGGTAAGTTCAACTTTTAATACAGCTGATATACTATTCAAAAAAAGTAGGGGATATTTGATTTTTAAGTGTTATTAAAGTCACCTAATGAAACTGACGAAGAAACAAATGACAAAATGAAATGAAGTTCACATTCATCGATTTATTCCAAATGATCGTTAGACTAAGTAAGGCACAGACTGACCATTATAAGGGTAAAAAAATGATACCCGGGGTCAAACAGCAAAGTTACCACAGCATCACAACCAAGTCAGTAACGGGTAAATCCTCCTCTGTTTGCCCAACAAGCATTGATCCGACGTGGCATACTCCTAATGAGACGTCTAAGGTCATTTTGGTCCAGATTGTCCCATTCCTGTTGCAAGTTCTAGGACATTGGCAGGACGTTGTTGACGTTGACGTAACCTCTGTCCAAGCATGTCCCAGACATGCTCGATGGGGGAGAGGTCGGGACTCAGTGCTGGCCAAGGTAATGTGGTGATGTTCTGTTGTTGGAGGTAACCTGTAACGATCCTGGCCCTGTGACATCTTGCGTTGTCATCCTGGAAGATGAAACGGCGGCCATGACGTCGTGCGAACGGCACAACATGGACTGCCAAGATGTTGTCCCGGTAGTACTGGCCTGTAACACGCCCTGCAACAACATGTAAAGCCGTTCTTCCAGCAATAGTGATGCCTTCCCACACCATAACAGAACCACCCCCAAATCGATCATGTCTGATGACGTTAACGTCTTGGAAGCGCTCGTTTCGACGACGCCACACATTCCTACGTCTGTCCAAAAAATCAACAGTGAACCTTGACTCATCTGAAAACATCACATTGCTCCAGCGTCGATTATCCCAGTGTTGACGATCCCTACACCAACGACGTCTTGCCTGAATGTGATGATCTCTCAAACAAGGGATCACGCGTGGACGTCGGGCGCGAAGGTGACCCCTATGCAGTCGATTCCGAATCGTCTGGCCACTCACTCTCACACCAGTGTCTGTTTGAAGACGAGCGCTGATCTGATTTGCTGTGATGACACGATTTCTCAAGGCCAAGGTACGGATAAATCGATCCTGGGCTTGAGTTGTCGCCCTTGGTCGACCTGAGCGTGGTCTGTCCTGTACAGATTGTGTATCACGGTATCTGGACCATAGCCTGCTTATGACAGACTGAGAAACATTCATCGTCCGCGCCACAACCGCCTGTGTTGTGCCGATCTGTAGCATGCCAAGGGCACGTAACCCTTCATTTTGGGTAAGCCGACGCATATCAAAATTTGTTTTCTGGTCACTAAATTCAATGCCACAATGACTGTAACATTCAAAGTCAGAGTCGTGCAAATCTTGGGTTGGACCCCCATGATGATCCCAAGCATCACCTGCATTCCATGCGGTAGCTATTAGTGCGTTTGGGCGTCACATGTAACTGGAAATGTTTCTTCTGTTAGGTTCTATAGTGACTTTTTTCGTAGTCATTTGCATATTTTAGTATTATGCCCCCAAAATCAAATATCCCCTACTTTTTTTGAATAGTATATTATTTGATGAAGTGTTCGGTACTCTAAAAAAAATTGTTCTACACTCACTCGACGTTAAATATCATAACCACCCTAGACAATAGGAGTTGGCACAGTGAAGTGTTCCCATTACATCCCTAGACAATAGGAGTGGGCACAGTGAGGCGTTGCTATTGCAACCCTAGACAGCAGGAGCGGGCACAGTAAGGTGTTGTCATATCAACCCTAAACAACAGGGCCGGGCACAGCGAGGTGTTACTATAACAACCCTAGACAATAGGAGCGGAAGAGTTATCAATTTTGCTATCTGTGGGCGTATGTTCTTTTTCATATGGAATACTTGTTTGTTGACATTTTGATACAACCGAAATAACCCTATATGCCTCTAAAGGATTATTAGTGTAAAGATATTACAGAATATTTATTTCAATGTCGACACCATATTAACCACCATATTAACCTCCCATTCTCTCTCTTTCCCCATCTATCAGATAGGATGAAGAGAAATAGACCTGAGACGGAGCCTTGAGGTACCCCAAATGATAAGTTTCCTTTCTAGGTCCATGTTGTATAAAAGGTGGTCCAGATTTTAGGATAAAGAATTACTTACCCAGACCTATCATTGCTCACGTCATGGCGTCCATCAAACTTTTCTTAGGTCTTTTATATTTTTTTTACTTATTTTTCTATATTTTTTAGATTATATCTCTTTTTTTTTGATTAGCTGACATGATTATTATGAAATATATACGATACATACAAAGGAATTTTTCGTTATTTTTATGATTTTTTTGTTGGAATGAATTAACCATGACAATGACAGACTGGGGTAGAACTCAACAAGCCCTTCGTACCACCAATTTAAACCTGACTTTGATCGCCTTATAAACGTGTCGATATATTACCAAATAAAAATTTTGGTGATCATTTTGAAATTCTTTCGGACATAAACACAAGATTATTAACTTCAAATATTTATATAAAGACTTACAATTTAAACTGCTATTTCTAAATGTTACGTGTAACATTGTGATGAAATATTTAAACTTCAGTAATTTATTCCAATCGTTTATATTTTAAAACTTGTTAAATATTGCACGAATTCACGTCGATAACACTATTATTACGCCATATAGGTAACAATTGTTATTCTCTATGCTTACAGGTGAACAGTTTTAACGGGAAGATTAAATCAATACGACTTCTAAGAATTAGATCAAACTGTGGCGTCACGTCACATATATATGGCCTATTGTACCTCCTAAGTTATTATAAAGGAATAAATGAATGAAGGTTAGCGTTCTACTTTTCTGCACCGACAGGGCTACTAACGACAGAATAAATAAATGAATGAATAAATAAATAAATTAATTAATGTAAGAATGAATGAATTCAGGTTTAGCTACCTACTTTTCTACACCTGATGCGATAATGAAACTGAAACTAGAATATGAATACAATATGTACTTTCGCTTTATTTTAACAAACATGCATATGAGATTAATGCCGCTATCTAGAAAAAAATATCCCTTTTAGTTCACTGTATTGAGTATTTCGGTCCCCCTTAGTCCAATCGGAATAGAACAGTAATTGATGACAATATGATTTGGTTATTATCTCCTGTACTATTATATATACGTAAAGTTATGTGTAATACCCAAATTGATAACAGGATCACGTGCCAGAGATAATGCACTAATTATAGGCATATAGATAACAATAATAAATCTAAAATACTTAATTTTGGATAAATTGATAAATTTCTACAAAACAGGAAATATAAGAAGTGCAGATTATTTACCATAAATTAAAATAAATCATTGAAATTATACCTGTTAGGTTTAGACAATCCGGGCTGTTCTTTCTTTATTTATGTTCTTGTTTTTTCTTCTAAGATGTTTCAATAAATTTACCAGTGATATTTGAAGTCCTGTTTATAAGCATCCCGAATATCAATAAAACATGGTGGTCCGCGGGGATAGATGGATTCCGGAGAAAGGCCACGTAAAGGGCGGC